TGTAGCTCCAACTAGTCCAGAGAGAAGGAAAGCAGTCCCCAAGGGCCAGCCTTTTTAGCAGGAGGATGGTTAGGTCTGTACTCCAGATAACTTGGACTAAGCCCACGTGACCTATGGTCCCAGTAGAACCCTGAGCCGGATGGATTTCTGACTATGCTGCCAAGGATTTGGTGGCTGAGCCACTGCAGTGACGTGAAGGTAGATAAATTCAAGTTCTTTTATTATTTCAAGACTTTGATTAAATTCCTTTTGGGAAGGAGTCTCTGCTTTGATGGCTTTGATAAGCTCCTTGAGTCTGGGCCTGGTGGGTTCAGTCTCTGCTTGTTTTTTGAGCTTGAGCAACATTTGGCTGTGGCAGTGGGGTTGAAAAGAGAGATGTGTAGGGAGGGGAAGGAGAGTCTGGTTGCCATTGGGAATGCTGTAGGGGCTGGCCCTGGTTGAGCTTTTTTCAGAACCATGGGAACAGTTAAACCATCCCAGCTCTTTCCTCCCCTCACTTCCACCTCTCTGTCACCAAACTTGAAGCTATCTCTTAGAGAATAGGAGTCAAAGCTTTCACACATAAAATCTACATCTTTGAAATAAAAAACCTAAAGCCTCTGTCAAGGTTTTCGCATAGGATCACAGTGGCCAAGGGGCCACCAGTTCTTATACCAGATGCTTTGAGGCTGTGGAAACTCCTAGAGTAGTTGTTCCTAACATTTTGGGAGAATCTTTGAGAACCAATGAAAGGTTAAATGTACATACACATAAAAATCGGCATACTATTTTGGGAGTTCAGTCTCAGGGAAACTCCCATGGATCTTTAAGGACCTTGTGAACCCCAAGTGTGGGTTGTTGTTTTTTTTTTTTTTTTTTGCCTGGAATGGCAGTTGGGTAGCACTCCTAGCTAGGTCTTATATATTCTTTCTTGGAGCATTACTGGTGTTCAAGAGAAATCTGGGGGTCCCACAGAATATAGAATTAGTAAACTAATACCACATTCTGCCATTTTAATCTAGTATTCACCTCAACCCTTCTAAATGATACCATATCCTTGTCAAGAGGTTGTCTAACTTCTGCTTAAACACTTCCAGTGACAGGAAATTCACTCTTTCTTGAAACACACTGTAGTTTTTCATAGTGCCTATTTAAGTATACTTGGAACTTAACATCAGTTCAGATGATTCTGTTATATAATGTATTTGCTCTCTCTAGCCCAACATTTGTATCATACACATATTTACAAAAAGTGTCTATGTCTTTGTCCATTCATTCATTTACTCATTCGTTCTTTCAACCAACCATATGTCTATTCAAACAAACATTTCCTAAGTGTTTGTTTTGTTCCAGGAATACCCTAAACACTGGGAAGGGATGCAAAGATGAATCAGAAATGGTCTTGGAGCATGTTTTCATCCAAAACTAAAGGTCTAGAGTTTACTACTCCAAAATTCCCTCTAGATTGGCACAAAAGAATTACTTTTGCACTTTAGAGTTATGGTGTCAATCAGCTGTCAAATGATCTAGTGGTGCTAGGTCATCTATCTTACATTTCCATTTCCAGAATTTACCTTTCCCATCTTTTTGAAAATGAGAACAGCTGCCCATTGACATTTTCTGGCCATGTGCTCCATTCACTGTTATTCCTAAAGTTCAATACCAAGAGTGCCTGCCCTATGAACTCCTGAACCCTGGGGCCCTACACCATTCTAGTCTTTTTCCCTGTACTTCCACTGAAAGGAGAAAGGTAAGGCCTAACCTTAGACTTGGAGCCTTTCCCTTTTTCATTATAGTGGCATTTTCCTTGTAGATCTTGCCCTGGAGTGTCATGCTGTGGCCTTGCCAGGTTCATGTCAAGTGCCTTACTAGAGTAATGCTGGCCTTACTCACAGGGAAGTGCCAGCTTCTTATTGGTTAAAACAGATTTCCTTTATCTCACAAGTCCTCAGAAGTTGTGGTTGGGTATCGAAAGTTACAGATAGCTGACCATAGATAATACAGGTAAAATTTTGGTTTAAAATAAATGTGTTGCTCATTAAAAATGTGATAAAAAATATCACACACCTGATGTTTACCCTTATCCTAGAGACCTCTAGAGGTCATGTCTTGGCCCTACAGCTTAACGCGGAACTTGCCATCAGCCTCTTTGCCTCTTCAAATTCTGTTGGCTCTTCACAGCTGGCATTACCCCTTTTAGGAAGCTTTCCCTACTCACCCTAGCCTTGTGAGACCTTCATCTTGGTAGATCCACTGGTGAGCACTCTAATCTATGATCATACATAATCGTGCAACCTAGCACTTTTTATCATATAATCTTACTTGGTATCTCATGTATATATTCCCTTACGTGTGGTTTCTCTGTTGGGTACTTAGATTTGGATGAGCTTTTAGACTTTTTGATTTTGATTTTTAAGTGAGCTGCTACCTAAGCTATTTGTTTCATCCCTACAGTCAGTTGGAAAAACAGTGGATGCCTACATGATGTGACTGAGGAGCATCATTAGGAACTAGCCTAAACCTAAAACCTTTTCCCACCAGTCCTGTATGGTGTCTGAGTACTCAGTGAGACTTTTATTCCCTTGGCTGTTTTTTCCTGACAGCATATGCTTTGAGAATTCAAATAACCTTATGCTCCTATCTAAGTAAATATCAGTAAAGAGGCCAGGGATTTTAAACCAAGATGTCTCAGGGGCTCCTCTGGAGAAGAGGGAGTTCCAGGAATGCCATCTCCACCTGAACTAGAGCAATTCTATTTTTGTTTTATGGACCAAAGTTATCCTAAAACTTTATTTATAAGCCATTCATCTGCAAAAAGAATTCTTTTTGAAAACCATTCTTTTAGGGCACTAGGTTTCAAAATTTATCCTGCACAGGAATCCTCTGGGAGGCTTGTAAACATGCAGATTGCTGGGCCCCACCTCCCAGAGTTTCTGATTTGGCAGGTTTAGGCTGGGGCGTGATAATCTACATTTCTAACAGTTTCCCAGCTGCTGCTGCTGGTCAAGAGACCGTACACTTTGAGAACTACTTCTTTTTTTTTTTTTTAAAGATGTTTTATTTATCTATTTCACAGAGAGAGAGAGAGAGAGAGAATACAAGCAGAGGGAACAGCAGAGGGAGAGAGAGAAGCAGGCTCCCCGCCGAGCAGGGAGCCCGATGCAGGGCTCGATCCCAGGACCTGAGCCGAAGGCAGCCGCTTAACCGACTGAGTCACCCAGGCACCCTGAGAACTACTTCTTTAGGGAAGTGTGTTAACAGCTTCCCAGAACTCTCTAGGAGAAACACTGGCAGGGGATGGAGATCGGGGGTTGGAGAGGGAGTGGGAGAATGCTTCCAGAAGGGAAGTTGACTGGTTCAAAAAATAGCTGCCCCTACTGATTGTTGTTTACTTTGAATCCCTTCATCTTCATATCTTCATAAGACCGTCAGGCTTTGATCCCTAACCAAATCCCAAAGGAGCGTGCTTCTATGCCTTGTCTTAAGCACAGATAGGAGCTTCTGTAAGAGCCATTGGTCCAGGGCTTCCTGAAGCTTTGATTCATCACTAAGTTTAAAGTCATAGCAGCAATGTCCACAATAGTCAAACTGTGGAAGGAGCCGAGATACCCTTCAACAGATTAATGGATCAAGAAGATGTGGTTCATATATATAATGGAATATGACTCAGTCATCAGAAAGGATGAATACCCACCATTTGCATCGACATGGATGGAACTGGAGGGGATTATGCTAAGCGAAATAAGTCAAGCAGAGAAAGTCAATTATCATATGGTTTCACTCATATGTGGAACATAAGGAATAACATGGAGGACATTAGGAGAAGGAAAGGAAAACTGAAGGGGGTAAATCAGAGAGGGAGACAAACCACGAGAGACTCAGGACTCCGGGAAACAAACTGAGGGCTTCAGAGGGGAGCGGGGAGTGGGGGGATGAGGTAGCCGGGTGATGGGTATTAAGAAGGGCACATGTTGTGATGAGCACAGGGTGTTATATGCAACTAATGAATCACCGAACACTACATCAAAAACTAATGATGTACTATGTGGTGACTAACTGAACATCATAAAAAAAAAGCAACTCCCCCCCAAAATGAAGTCAAAGAACCAGAAAGGACTTCAGATAAGGCCCCTAAATAATGCTAGTGTTGTTGGTGATGGGTCATCTAGGCTAGGTAGTGTGATGCTGACATCAGGAGATTCTAATAGCTTGGAGAGAGAGAAGCTAACCAACCTTCTAATCCTACTAAATGTACAACTCAATGGAATTAGACGATGGTTAAAATATAAAATTTTATTGCCAATAAAAGCCTTTAATAACTCATTTATCCTGTTTCAGTAGGACCTTATTCTTTCTGATGAAAATCCAGTCATAGCATCTCTCATTAAAAATAAAATTATTTTGAAATAAATAAATATATAAAATAAATAGCATATACATTTCATAAATAGTTTGTTCTTATGCACAGTATCCATGCTTACATTTTAATATCATTTTCTTACAACCTACCCCATCTCCCACTTCCAATGGCAGGAAAACTGCATGTCAGGACAGGTGGGAAATCTCTAGAGCCAATGCAGGGATGGCCTGCACCAGGTCATAGACCCAAGGATTTTAATGAGACTTTTCCAAAGCTCTGCATGTAGCATCTATGGAGATTCCTTGGCTTTTCATTTACCCATTGTCAAAGTATTTGGGTAGATTGTGGGGCAAGATATCCCTGGCCCTTGGCAGGGGCCCCCATTCTTTCTTGTGCCACCTCAGGGGAAAGAACATGAGTAAAGAAAGAAGTATATACAGGATTCCCTCCAGCCCACCCCCTCCACCCATCTCCCTCCCCCAAATAACCCAACCTTGATATACACTTTGAACAAAGGAACAGCTGGGTTGAGTTGAACAGGAAGTGGTCCTCTGTTATCTAAATTGATAGGAAAGAGGATTGAAAAGCTATGAGTATAGTGCTTGCAGAGACGACTGTGGCCCTAGAGTACAGGGGTCACAGAGGTCACACTAGGGGTCCATTACCTATAGCGGAAGAGGTCTCTGGACATGGAGGGCAACTTAGAAGGATCTACTGGCCTGGGCAAAAAGTGAGTAAATTTCTGATGTCGTTTAGTCCTGTATCCCTCCCGGGGTGAGCCGTCTTTATTCAAGGCCACATAATACTGTCTCTCCGAGTCCAAGTGTTTGTACAAGGTGGAAGCATAGGTGTTGTACCAGTTTTCTTCAAATTGTTCCCGGAACACACATTCACGTGTGAGTTTCTTCTGTGAGGATGAGAAAATAAAGCAGAGCCTATTATATGACTATTTCTCCCATCCCAGCTTGCTGAAATAGCAATAACACATTGATGTTAGAAAATTTCAGTCCTATCTCCCAGTATTCCTGAGGCATCTTCTTTCCAAATAGCACAAAACAGCTCTGTCTGTATGGCCTTCATCCTCTTTCATGAACCACACAGAAATGTTTTAGGTGAGATCTTTCCCGAAGGCAGGAGACCAAAGAAGATGGCCTCACCTGGCTCTCTGAGCCTGAGAATTTCTGCTATGGCCTCCCAATACTCCTCTGGACCCCGAATTTTCTCCCTACTTCGGGCAAATAATGTCAAATCCATTGAGATTACAGTCAACCATGTCACCTAACAGGCAAAGGCCTTGGATCTATATAAAGCTCCATGGGAGGTGAGTTATGATCTCTCCTAATGAAGGGTCTCAGGCCTGTCAGTTGGAAAGCTCAGAAAAGATCTCCTTGAAAAGTTCCTCCAATCTGGCTATTTCAAGCTAGCAGCTCCTGAGGCAGGTCTCTTGCCTCTGTGCCTTCTCACACTTGATCCAGCTGGCATACTACTTGCTGGGGTTGCCGATACGGAGTGCTGGGGACAGGCCTATCTCTTAGGTGTCAGGGAAAAATGTGCTCTGAGTTCATGGGGTGCAGGCAGCCAGAAAGCATGCTCTGTGACTCAAAAGGCAAACCCAGGAGTTGGGCTCCCCCCAAAGGGTTAAGGTCAGCGAAGTCACTCACCATTCCCTAGCTCTGGGCTAGCTTCCAGAATAGAGAACATGCACTGTGGCCAACCCAGTCCTAGCTGGGGACTTAGGGCTGTCACCAGACCCTGGAACCCTCACTCTTCATTTGTTTGTTTCATTTGGCCTCTGGGATTCAGCTGAAGCAGTCTGGAAATCAGGGACTGTGTTTTCAATCTCAGAATCTCTATCTGAAGGCCAGCCCTTCCACTGCCTATTTTTGTGCCAGCTCATCTGCTACTCCTCTAGGTGCCCAGTAAAATTCATAGGTGCTCTTCGGGAGTGCAAATGCCCCCAACCCTTACCCTCTGTTGACAAACCAGCACAGTTTACTGTTATCACCAGGCTGGCTGGGCCTCTAATGGAAGAGGTGAAAGCAAAGTTACCACAGAAAAGCTGATGTTTTGATGGGAACTGGCTGAGTGAAAGTGTTATTATATAGCAAGCTCCTGGGCAGCCAAGAAGCACCTAGAAGACACTAATCCTTCGCAGTTGATAGAAGTATTTCAAGTGCGAGATAAATGTTTTTATGTTTTTGCCTTACATAGTCCAAACACTGGTGGTAATGGCCTCTGATGAAAAGAAAACCTTCAACTTACCGACCCATATAGTTCTCCTCGCTCATTCATTCCTAAGTACAGGCCAGAGTCCACTCCCCGGATGCTGATCAACCCCACCGCCAGGCTGATAAACTCCAGGATTCCTAGAGCAAAAAAGTGAATGCCATTTCTATTACTGATGTCAAGCTAAGAGGGAGCTGTTCAGGTGACATGAGCTACCAGTCATTTATCCCCAACTGGAGGCCAGCCCTGTATGCCTTTGTTGAGTTACCTCATGAAACCATCTTTTGCAGCAAGAATGGAACCTCAGAAAATGTACTGAGTCTCCCCGGGCCTCGGTTTTTCCCCATGTAAGATGGGCGAAACAATCTCTTACTCAACACTCTTAGAGATATTATGAGGAAGAGACCACGAGCAGGCTTTGGCTACGAAAGCTCCATAATTACAAGGTACTATTGCTGTTAAATACCACCATTTCAAGAAATGGGAGGGTAGCTTTCTAAATGGAAGAATGTGGCTAGATTTCTGTATCTTCCCAAAGTCACTTCCCTCCTCCCTAGAGCACACAGCATTACCTTCTTGTCCTCTAGGCTGAATTTGTTTTGCACCCTCTTAGCTCCCATGTCCTTAAAGCCACATGAGGCTGTCAACTGCCTGCAGCTGACTCTAACAAAGGCCACACAGTCTACTCACTAAGTCTGTGTCTCCTGCCTATGGCAGTAGGCAAAAACCATGGCCTGGTGAGAGCTTTCTTCAAAAATATGCTCTTAGCCAGTGCAGTCCCAGGCTGACAAGCCTGTCGTTTTCCCCTTGTCTCTTTAGAATTTTAAGTTTATCCATGGCAAAGAGTTGACAGGTAGTACTAGACTTGATACTGATTTGAGATGTTGCAACTTTAAGGGGAAAGTTTGGAAGACATTCAGAAACATCCCTCTAGCTGACAAGGTCAGAGGTGAGGAGTTGGAAATGTTTTCGTTTACCCAGCAGCAGCAGGAGAAAAAAAAAATCAACTTCTAAGAGGGGAAAAATGACCCAGAACTTAAAACCTTGTGGTGCTGAAGACTACAGTTTTGTTCTAAGATAGGACATCTGTTATTCTATGGATACAGACATAGTGGTCAAGTAGATTCCTCTTTGATATTCCTGTCTCTAACCATGTCCTCCAACGTACAGACCAAAGCTTGATATGACTGACTCACAGAAGCATCCAAAGGTATGAAATGAGCTCACATCTGGCTGCTTTTCTTACCCCCAAAAATGCAATTCTTAAGAGTAATCATATTCTATGTAGTCTACACAGGGAGTGGAACTGATTCCTTAAAGATTACTTAAGAAATGAAGTGGTTAATTTTGAAATTGGACTCAAAGCTCCAGTGGGAAGTCTCCTGAAAAGCCCCAGTGATTTGGGCTGGTGGATGGGTGTGCAAATGTGGCAGCTTTAGGGCACAAATTTCCACGACCCACTTGGATCTCGTTGAAGAATGCAAAGGTCTGCTGCTATCGTATGGCCTCCGACATTGAAATCCTTCGTTTTATTCTCAGTCGGGTTGCTCTTAACTCCTACAGTACAAGGAAGGCATTTTGGGAAAAGAGACTGACACAAGATGGTAGGAGGAGAAGGGCAACTAGCTGGTGTCAAGTAGGGGTTAAGCAGGAAGTGATGTAATGGATCAAACCCGTTAGTTGCATTGCGCAAGTGTCTGATTTGGGTTCTGCCTTGTTTAACATTTTAATAAATGACTTGTAAGAGGACATAGGGGAACCACTTACACTAGTTCCAGAAGATGTACAGCTGAGAACGTGACACAATCAAAATCCAAAGAGATTTCAAGAGGATGGGAAAATGAGCTGACTCCAACAAAATAAGCTTTAATTAGAATAAATGTAAAGTCCTGCACTTTGGTCTCCAAACCAATTACTCAAGATGTTTTGTGCTTGGGTTTTGTTGGGGGATGGTGAGCCTCAAATGCAGACAGTTGAGTTAATCGTACTCCTTGTCTTATGGCCTACTATCATAATTGGTCTGTGCAAAGCCTTTTTATTCATCTATTTCTTTTTATTTCTGTATTCTGCTCTCATCCTCCACCCCACTTCAGGCAACCATGTATATTTTCTTGAAAACACGTAATATTCTTTTGTGTTTCCATGCATTTGCTTTAAATACAAGTCAGCCCACCTCTGGAATGTGGAGATGTGGCTTAGTAAAACATACACAACAATGACCAAGAGATTTGGCTGAACAAGGTAAGCTCAGTATGGGTGATTCATGATATTAAAAAGCTGATGTAGAACTAGTCATGTAAAAATTAAAGTTTATCAAAAAGCTAATGTGAAACAAACAAACAAAGAAAAGCTAATGGGATCGAAGGCTGCACTGACAGAGGCCTAGCAACTGGCCAAAGGGAGGAGACAGCCCCACTCTGTCCTGCCTTAGACCACACTGAGCGCTGGTTTTAGTTCTACTGTGTTTAAAGAGGTCTACGGAGAAACAGGAGTGTGTTCAAAGGAGAGTGGCCAGTATGGCAGGCAAACAAGAAACCAGGTCATGGTTTGGTTCTGTGTGCTAAACTTTGAGGGACACCAACCAACCTGCTGGAGCCTTCAATTCTTTCCTCTGCTTAGACAAATTGCTTCCGAGCTTCAAATCTTAGTTCCCTCATTCTCTAAGTATCTCATGTCTCTGACCACCCTGAGCTCATGAAGTAGCAGAGGGCAGCTTGTGATCTCACCGGCCAAGACCTGGTGTGAGAACAAATCATGAAACACAAGAGGTGTGGCCATTTGAGTCACCACAGTTTTTCTCCAACTCTCTGTTAACCCTGATGCCAAAGGACAGATCATACAGGAAGCTTGGGTTGTGTCCAGTAACAAGGGTCTCCAACAGCTGGAATCATCCCTGCCCAGCTGTCTTGGGGCATCATTTTCCTTTGCCAACTTTCCTATTAGCTGGATTCAAACTGTGAGAACCCAGGGGCACATGATGATGGAACAGATATTCCTAAACCTCCTGAATCCCAGCCAGCATGAAGGGAGAGAGAAAACAAGCCGTTTTCACATTTTCCCAGTTACAGTTGGAGAGGGGTATTAACAGCGAAGTGTGGAGGCCAAGTATCAAGCAGACAATGTTTGTCTTCAGTACTCTCGTCCCCTTCGAGGTCCAGGACTTCCCTCTACTCTGCCTCATCTTGACCTGTCCATCTCAGGCTCTGGCCTCCGCTTGACAATTTCCAGGCTTTTCTTCCATCTTTTCCCCCATGGCTTCAGTCAAAACAGATCTGTCCTGAGCTCTACTGCTCCAGAACCTCGCTAGACCATTGGCTAACGTGTCCTTGAATCAGTCTGGCTCCATGATTTGCCTGAGCCCCCTCAGTCATCCTTTCAGGGCCTTCGGGGCCAAGACAGTGCTGCTCTGGCATCTTGACAACTGAGGAGCAGACTGCTCAAAAACCAAAGCAGCTGCATTAGCCTGCCCCTTCACACCTGGTGGGAGGCCTCTCCTCCAGTCTGGCTCCCAGGCTCTGCTCTGCCAGTCCACAGGTGCCCCCTCAGGAATGTCAGTACCCCTGTGAACCTCATGTAAATACCACCAGCCAAGCAGAGATTGAAATACTCCCAACCACTGATCGAAGAATGGAGTGGGTGGGGCGGGGGGAGCGTAGGCTATGCCAACAGGTTATTATTTGGAGTCGTGGCTGCTCTTGGGCTCAGCCTGACTCGTTCTGAACACATGGATTCCAGGGTAATCCTTGGGGGCCCTGCTCTCCAATTACAACAAATAGCTATTTACTTTACACGGCCTTTGGAGACTACCTCCTCCCCCCAAGCAGAAATCTATAATATTTTATATCTTAAGTCTGGCCTACTTTACCCTGCTGGAATGTTGACTGCTAAGGCACTTATGGAATGTTAAAGTTTCGATTTATTGAATACCCTGGCTGATTAACTCAAATGTGGAGGGAGGAGAGTTAGCAAACTCAAACGCCACCTCTTTCTTTGCCAAAAGCTGAACTGAGAAAGAGTAAATGTGTGTTTGAAAGTTGGCAGGGGAGGTTACAAAGAGACAGCTTTGACTAGTTATCATTTCCTTTACAGGAAATACATGGAATTGCCAGGAAGCCAGGGAAGGAGGAAAGGGAAAAGGTGGTGCAGAGGTGGTCTCAGGCAGTGTTATTTTAAAAGGCAAAACCAAAAATGAAGCAGTCAGTGAAGCAGCAATGAAAACATCCCTTCCTCCTACCAGTTTTATTTCCTTTGGTTTCTCCTTAAACTTACCCTTAGCAGGCCTGAGAGATGAAAGGAAATCAAGATTTGTCCTTAGGGAGGTAATTAAAGACCACTTATCCCAAGAGCCTATTACTAATTTATGTTGACCTTGTAGGTTATTGGGCTCAGCTTAGGCACGGAGTCAGACAAACACTAGCTGCTGGAAGCCAAGCTCATAGTTTCTCCACCTCTGCTGCTCCCACCCTACATTTCTCCCTCCTTTCGCGATTTTTCTTTTTATATACCAGGAATGAGCTACTCCAACATCTTCAGGCCATTTCTGGGAGACTTTGGGAGGTTCTGAGGCCGGGGTGGGAGTCCCATTCCTTCCGAAGAGGAACAAAAGGGAACTGCAAAGTCACGAGTGATGGAAGGAGAAGGAGCCAAGTTAATACTCCCTCTTCCCTGACCCCACCTATCACCCTTTGGAGGACCTGCTGCAAATTCATATAGACACCAGCACCCCTCCATTACTCCCACCCCACACACAACCCACTGTCCTCCAGCTCTGTGAGGGCCTTTTTCCAAGATGACACAGACCTCATTAGGGTTCCTGCTTGCTCCCAGCAAGGAAGACCAGCCCTGATCTTAAGTTGTTTGCTAGACTTGGCCTTGCCCAGGCACTGGCCTCTGGGACCCCCCACCCCTGACCCGCCCTGCCTTTTACTGTGCACTCCAGATGCAGCTTTAGCAAGGCAGGGGAATAGGCGGATGGGGAGGTCTGGGGGAGGGAAGGGGGAGGGTGGGATAAAGAAGGGAACGGGTATCATGGTGGAGGGTTGGCAGAGCCTCTTACTGGCTTAGGGTTAGAAGGTGTCCTTGGGCCACAGGGTTCTTGGGAAGAAGTAGAGGGCATTGGGGGATGGGGTTCCCAAGTAAAGGTAGCTGTCACAGCACCTGAATTATGGTTTAGTAGAGAATAGGAAATTGAAAATAAAAATGGCCAAATTACTGAGGAATGAACACATTTGTTTAGAAACCTAATGATCTCCATCCCACATCAAGGTTTATACTAATTATGTTTTGTATGTGAGACAGGCAGCTGTGCCCTTTCAACAATCTGCCGGGTGTTGAGCAGAGAAAATCCTGTTCGGAGCCTGTACATTTCCTGTCCTGGGCCCAGGAGACACCTGTTTCTGGGGCTGGGAGTGAGCCCAGGACCGTTTCCTCCCTGTGAGTCAAGGAGTCCAGACGTATGTCCAGGCAAAAGCTGACCCAGGGCTGTGCCCTTCCAGAGTGGACAGCGGGAGGCTTCCCCAGTTTCTCCAAGACCCAGCTCGCACCTTGCTGCCTGGATTGACCTCCACCCCGGGTAGAGCAAGTCAGACGCAGGCAGGTGCCACGGCTGCCGGCTGCCGAGTCGCGGTCTGCCAAAAGCGATTCCGACGCGGACCGCGCGCCCACCACATCCATAGCCCCGGAAGGCTTCTGCGGCAGACAATCGGCCGCGACAACCCCGCTGCCCTCGAGACGCCACGCCACAGCCACGGTCCCAGGCCTCCTCGGCGGGTGGCGGGCGCTCCTACCCTTCTCCAGCTCCACCTGCTTTTCATCCTAAGCGCAGCGTCGGGTGTCAGAATGCTCCCCCGGCTACGGGGGAGGGAAGAAGGGTGGAGTGGGGGAATGAGAGGCCGCACCTCAGGGCGCCCCCGCCTCCTCCCGAGAGCGTCTGAGGGTGCCAGGCGCCCTGACGCCGCGCGGCTCAAGTTTGCGCCATCCGATCCCGCCTGCCCCGCGTCCCTGGCTGTCTCCCGCCTCGACGGGCCGGGACGGCACGGAGCTGGGGGCGGCCCGCGCGGGCCCGGAGCCGGAGCCCCGCGCCGTTGGCTCCCCAGCGAGCCGTCCGCTTGCTTCCCGTCCCTCCCGGCCGCGTCCTCACCGAAACGGCTGTGGTCGTGGCGGGTGCCGTGCACTGTGCCATTCGGGAAGATCTCCAGGTGGAAGCCGGTGCGGCAGTAGAGTTGGCGGCGCCGCAGGATCCCCTTCAGGTGGGCGAAGTCTGTGGGCGAGCCGCGCTGCAGCTTCCCCTCGATCTGGCCTAGGCGCTCGTTCAGGAAACCCGGGGAGTCAGCTAAGGGCACGGTCCCCAGAGACGAGGAGAAGCCGTGCAGATCCCAGTCCAACGAGGCGAAGACCCCCCCCACCTCCGCCATGGCGGGGTGCGCGGGGCCGAGCTGGGGCCGCGGGGCGCCAACTACCTCTCCCCTCAGCGAGCGCAGGCGACTCGGCGGCGCCTGTTCGCTCCCTCGCTCGCTCCGCGCTCTGCCTAGCTGCAGTCGACGTCTGTTCGCGTCCAAGGAACTTCTCAGCGGCGGGGCAACGAGCTCCTGACCATGCTCTCAGTCAAAGTGGCGCTTCCCTTACGCGTCCATCTCCCTAGGCCTCTCATAGCTGGCTTCGTCGAGCTATCAGATGCAAACGGCACTTTATATACATACCCACTCCCCTTACATTGACATATTGGATATTTAAATACAAGCCACACCTCACTGGCATCCCCTCGGAGATTGGTGTGTGGGTTCCCCCCCCTTGTATCCATTTGGCTCTTTTTGGAAGGGAGGGGGTGAGGGAGGAGAGAGCGAGCGAGCTTCACTCCCTCTTTTATTATGAAAAAAATGGCAGGAAAAAGCTACACATTGCAGTGAGGCATAACTGCTTTTGGCAGGTTTTTCTGAAACTGCTGATGAAATAACGGAGCCCAGTGCGTGGAGACTGTTGGCGCCCACGTCCACTCAGGCCTGTTGAGTGGAGGTCTGTTGGCTGCGCGGGGGCAGTTCCCACCTCCCACGCGTCGTCAGGCTCCTCGCGTTCGGAAAGTGGCTGGAGACCAGGGCTGGGGGTTCACGCGTTCCTGAGCCTTTCTCATTCCCCCGCTGGTCGAAAACTGCAGAAGGGGCGCCTGGCCCGGGACTGGGGCTCCTTGGTTTCTTTGTTCTGTTGCCCATCCCCAGTCCCACTCCCCACCTGTAGGTCGGTGGGGGCTGAGGAAGTGAAAAATCCGGAAGCGAATGAAGTTGCAAAATTTGGGAATGGGGGTGGTAGCGGTCCCTGCCGGCACCAAGGCGGAGTCTTCAAGGGGTCTGGGAGGAGCGGGAAACCCCACGGAGGAAAGAAGACTTTTTTTTTTTTTTAAGGGACGTTTACATCTTAGGAAAAGTATGGGGGAGTAAGAAATAGAAAGTGATCTTTTTGAAAACCGATCTCCACTGGCTTTCTGGGCGCGCTTTTACAAGGCTCTTGAGACCAAACCCGATGAGAGGCCATTGGAAGCCTGGTGGGGGCTTCCCCCCACCTCTTTTCTTGTTGGAAACAGGTGTTTCCTTGCTGTGTCCTGTGTCCTGCTTCGAGATATTCTATCAGGAAGAGCCGCAGTTGGAGCAGGAACTGGCGGCAGTCAAGGGCAACCCGTAGCGTCAAGAAGAACTGGGGAGCAGGTGCCCAGCCTGCCCAGCTCCCCCACGCCTCTGCCCCACACCTGAACCCTGGGGCCCCTCTCAGGCCCTGGCGCTCAGCGACCCGCTCGCCTATTCACCTGCGTTGTTGCCTGAAGTTTGCACCCGCAGTGGGCTCCGGCTGTCTTACCGTCTCCCGCAAGAGAAGCTGAGCAGAGCGAGCACCTCCACCTCCACCGCACTCTCGCCTTTGCAGCGCCTCCTGCTGGAGAACCCGTGTCTCACGACCAGTTCGAACTCAGGGTCTCCCTGAGAAGAAAACCGATTTCGCTCTTCAGTTAGGGCAATTTGATTCCTGCTCCCGGGCACCCACGTGCGCCGCAGGCTCACTCTCTGGAACTGTAGCAATTCTCGGTTTGGAACATCGTGGCTTGGTTCTGGTGTGCCTCCTTAGCCTAAGACAGAACCTCCCGGGCCAAGCACAATATCCGGCACACAGTAGGTGCTCAGAAATCATCTTCTGATGTGCTCCCAGTAGTCGGGGACACAGATGAAAATGCTCTTCCCATTGTAAGGGACACAGAAATGCAAACGATGGCGTCCCTATTGGAGTATTTATGGATGAAATGACAGGCTATCTGGGATTTACTTTAATCCAGTGTGAGACGGCAGAGGGAGTGGAGGTATAGATGCAATGATACTGTTCATAGGTTACTAATTGTTGAGGCTGAGTGATGGGTACATGGATGTTCATTATAAATTCCCTCTACTTTATATAAAAACATACACACATGAACTCTTTCATAATAAAAAGCTTTTGAAAGTGACGACATAAAACGAGGAAATCATTCCTTCATTCTTCATTCTTCCCTTTGAAGAGTTGGTGAATTTAGTGAGAAGGTAGGGCAGAGGGGCGGAGGTTAAGACAAGTACATAAAAGACTAGAGGGCCTGGGTGGCTCAGTCAGTGAAGCGGCTGCCTTCAGCACAGGTCATGATCTCGGGGTCCTGGGATGGAGCCCCCCCTTCGCACTCAGCGGGGAGTCTGCTTGTCCCTCTCCCTCTGCCCCTCCCCCCGCTTGTGCTCTCTCTGTCTCTCTCTCGAATAAATAAAATCTCTAAACGTCTAGAATACCAGGTAGTATAAGGTGCACAGTGCTGTGTGAATTCAGAAGGCAGAAAGAAGACTGACCTGGGGCTTTAGGGCTGGATTTGGGGCCAAAGTGTGGCCTTTGTAATGGATGGACCTTGAAGGGAAGATGGGAAGGTTCTTGCAAATTTTGATGGGCCACTTCCAGGAAGGGGAGAAGAGTAACAAAGCAAATGGGACAATTTAAATGATAAAGACTAATTCTTGGGAGTTTTGGTTAATGTCACATGAAACAATGTAGATGAAACTGCTTTGAGAAATAGGTGATTGTAAAGGATTTAGATGTTTCTGTGCTGATATAAATAACGCGTTGATAATGGTGAAAGGCCATTTCCTCAACAATTACTTCAGGGAATTTCTGCATTCTTTGTCCCCCAACATTCCTAAAGTCACCAACCACAGTTGCAGATCTGGTGTCCTACCTGATCAAAGGTCAGGGATATAAGCATTCTATTGCCCTTCTGGGGTTTTTCTGAGATTAAGCTGACTGATGATTCTATTTTAAAGATTTTACTTATTTATTGATTTGAGAGAGAGAGAGAGAGTGGGGGGAGGGGCAGCGGGAGAGGGAGAGAGAATCCCAAGCCAACGACTCCATGCTGAATGCAGAGCTGAGGTGGGCTCCATCTCACAACACAGAAATCATGACCTGAGCCGAAACCAAGAGTGGACACTTAATTGACTGAACCACCCAGGCGCCCCCTGATGATTCTATTTTAAACAATGTTTCCATGAAGTGGTCCAATTGACAGCACTTTTATGAGAGTTATTTAATTTTCACAACATTGTGGATTAGGAAGTGCCATATCCCTATTTTAGAGGTGAGGTTAGGTGACTAACACAGAATCATATAGTTAATAAGCAGAGTCATAATTTCATCTCAGATCCACTGGGGGCAAATTACTGTCAATTTATGGGTCTTGGGATTATGCAAAGATCAGTGTGTTGAGGACAGTGAGATTTCAGAATATTTTGGTTTACAGAAAACCCTCAGCAGGACACAACCTCCGGCCAGGGTTGTGTTGGATATATGGGATGAGAGGAAAATGTACATGAACAAAGAAGCAACCCACACTGGATTGAGGACAACACTTTTAAAGTGAGGATAACTTCACAGTGGTGTTGTGAGGATGTAATGAAGTCACTGATGGAAAGTGTTCAGCATTCTGTCTGGTACATAGAAGACACTCAACACATCTGAGATTCCATCCTTCTTTCCCGCTATCTCATAGGGTTGATAGGAAAAATAAAGCAACCTATGTGAAAAAGACATAGAAAAAAAAAAACAAACTCCTTGGGAAACAAGAGAGTTCTGACTCAGGCTGTAAGTGACCAGAAACTGGGGGCAGCCCCCTGGGATCTGTTCCTTGAGGAAGGAGATAGTGATGCTAACAATGCTGGTACTCACTTCCCACCCCCATCACCCACTGCCCCCTACACACTCAGGAGGTGGGAAAGATGTCTGGAATTGTTGCTCAGCCTAGTTCTTAATTTTCCCTACAGCTTATAAATGTTTTCTCCTTTCTAACTTAGTTTCCGCGAGAAGGGGCATGGGGAGCTGTATTGCTAGGCAAATCCTGCAGGGGGCGTAGTTAATACCATCAATTGCTCCTATTTACTGGGCACTTACCTTGGGTTAAGCATTGCCCTAGGTGCTTTACATGCATTAGCTTCCTAAGCCTTATCACAACTCTGAGAAACAGGTTTTTTTTATTTTTTTTTAAAGATTTTATTTATTTATTTGAGAGAGAGAGAATGAGAGACAGAGAGCACGAAAGGGAAGAGGGTCAGAGGGAGAAGCAGACTCCCCGCCGAGCAGGGAGCCCGATGTGGGACTCGATCCCAGAACTCCAGGATCATGACCTGAGCCGAAGGCAGTCGCCCAACCAACTGAGCCACCCAGGCGCCCACAACTCTGAGAAACAGTTTTATTCCCATTTCACAGCTGAGGAAGCTAAGGCACAAAGATATTCAATAATTGGTAGCAGAGGTTGGACTTAAACTGTTGATTTTAAGTTAGGACCTGACCCTAACATTACAATGCCTCGGTCTGTTTACTTCAAAAAGAACTTATATTGCTCCCTTATCCTTTCTTCCCACCTTTCCTTTCTTTCTGCTTTCCCTGTGGACAGTAGTATAGTGTAGCAGTTGCACACTTCATCTCTGGTGTCAGACTGCCTGGGTTCAAATCCCAACTTGAAGCCATTCTAGGTGTTGAAACCTCAGTATCCTCTTTCTGGATGATGATGACGATGACGATAGTCGTGACCTCCTAGGATTGCTGTGAGGTTTAAATGAAATAATACACAGAATGTACTTAAACCTGTGCCTGGCACATATTAAGTGGTCATTGTTCTTAGTATTATTTACATCCTGCCTGGCCCCAGTCATGTTTCCTCCCCAGGTTTCCTCAAGCCATGCTCATTTTTTCCTAAGGGAGAGATGAGAACACTGGCCTAGTCATCCCAAAGCAATCAGTTTCAATTCTATTACTCCTTCTCTGTGATATTGGGTCAGTCTTGTTCTCTCTGGGCTTTAGAGGCCTGTCTCAGAAATGAGGTGACCCAACTGTCACCTGTCTGTGGGCAGGCAGGTAATGACAGAGTGGCCAT